AGGGAACCACCTAGACAGAGAACATCACAGATATGATCACAAAGACTGATTGATGTTAGAGCTCAGGTAGCAGAGAAGAGTTGGTCAGAGTTTAACGTCCAGCAGACACCTGATAGATGATCATGTGTGAGATGTAACCTGTGCAGATCAGTCTCTCTGCTGGCTCTGACTGTGAGCTGAAGGTCAGAATATCAGGCAGCAGCTCCTCTCCTCGCTGTGACCAGTGAATGATTGAGAGCTGCAGACCTGCTGGCTGCTATTTTACACTGTTCTGGTTCAGCTCTACTAGAGCAGGGGTTGGCAACCCACGGCTCCGAAGCCGCATGCGGCTCTTTCATCCTTATACTGCGGCTCTGAGTGGCTTGGGAAAATAAATTACTAAAAAAAAGTAAGTATTTAATGTAAGTGTATTTTATTTGTGTTAGTTCTTTAATATTTTAGTCCTCAATAAAATAATGGCAAAAGGTTTAAATCACCACCAGTTCCGTTCGTTACTGGATGAGGTGGACAGCACATACTCTGATCTCCTGCGACACAATAGAGTCTGGTGGCTGTCCAGAGGAGAGGTGCTGAAACGTTTTGCTGCATGTCTGGGAGAGGTGAAAACTTTCATGAGCAGCAAAGGGCTCACCTTTCCTGAGCTGGAACAGCCAGAGTGGCTGGAAAAGCTGCACTTCATGGTGGACATGACAGCGAACCTGAACACGCTGAACACAACTCTTCAGGGGAGAGGAGGCACAGCACTACACATGCTGGAGGAGGTGTTAGCATTTTAATGGAAACTGACAGTTTTAGCCAGAGATTTACAGAGAGGCACACTGTCTCACTTCCCCTCTTTAAGGGAGTTCAAACAAGCTCACAAGGTGATCAATTCAGAGTATTTGCAGTCTGCAATCACCACAATGCAAGCATCGTTTCGCAAACGATTCCGTGAGTTCAGAGAGGAAAAAATCACATTGTCCTTCCCCGTCACTCCCCTGAACATCAATCCATCCCTGCTAAATGCTACTGCATTTGCAGGTGTAAGTCAACCTGATCTGGAGCTGGAGCTGGCTGACATAGCTGACAAAGATATGTGGGTGTCCAAATTCAAACGCTTGACAGAGGACCTTGAAGATGTTGCCCGTCAGAAGGCCACTCTTGCTCAGAATCACAAATGGAGGGATATTGAGAACCTTCCAAGACCGGACAAACTCATGTTTGAAACATGGAATTCCATCCTTGACACCTACATGAACATGAAGACATATGCCTTTGGAGTCCTATCGATCTTCGGATCCACATATGTATGTTAAAAACATACATATATACATTAAAAACAAACACCACTTACGCCTCACAGATGACAGCTTACAGTCCTGCGTAAAGATGAGAGTGACTTCGTACAGACCCGATTTGCAGACGCCCTGCGCAGAGGTTCAGGAGCAGAAGTCCCATCAATCAGGTTAAATAAATATTTATGCAGATATTTTGCAAATATTTATTTTTCATTGTTTAGTGACACAGTTCTTTTTTCCCCAATTTTTTTTTTGAAATTCAGGTTCAACATGCTCTGAAAGCCCAAAGGCGATATAAGGATGACAGCTCACAGCATTTTTTTGCTTTTGTTTGCTACATGGATAATTTAAGTTCAGCTTTTTAATTTATTTGAAAGAGACATTCAGACATTTTATTATTTTTTCAAGAATTCAAAATGTTCACAATGTGTTCATTAGATAAAATTTTATTTTCTCTGTAGCACTTCCTGAATTTCATAAGCAAAACACTTTAGTTGTTTATACAAAGTGTAAAGGTAAGAAAAAGCAATATATACAGTGTTATCTTCATTTTAGATAAGATGATAGCCCATCTTCAAAAGGGTAGTCAAAGCACTAATAAGTGTACTGTACGGCTGGGGTGAACCCCGAAGCATGAAAGGGAAGTTGTTGTTGTTTTTTAAAAATATTTTTTCTTTCTATTTAATAAATGCGTTCATAAATAAATTCATTTTAGATGTCAAAAAGTATTTGCGGCTCCCAGTGTTTTCTTTTCCGTGGAAACCGGATCAAATGGCTCTTTCTGTGTTAAAGGTATCCAACCCCTGTACTAGAGGCTCTGAAAATGGAGGAAACTTTCTACATATTAACCTTGTAGTCTCTGCCGTACGCTGAATGTCTGCTGCATGATGCTGTCAGTGGGCACTAGAATGGTGAATGTCTCACTAGGGATGTCTATTTGATGGTGCATTCAGACAGGGCGCGGTGGCCGTCTAACCTGGCGCTGCAATCTGGATTATTGGAGGATCTGAGTTTTCAGTCTCAGAACAAATCCAGGTTGAAAGACTCCCACTAATACATCCGTGTGGGGACCACCAGCGGGTCGAACCAATGACATGTGAGCAGGTTTGTTGGGGCGGGACATGTAGGAATGACAACAGTCAGCAGGGCCTTGCTGGGACATTACTAACATGGTTACGCTGGAGGACTCGCCTGTAGATAACAATTGACTTGGTCTAAGCTAGAATAGCGACAATTTCTCATTTAAAGAAGTAGCAAAGAGAAGCACTTTGTGCATTTGTAAATGTGCTTGAGTTTGGAAAAGGTTTGATTTATCAGCATACAAAATGTCATGATTTGCCGCTACGATTGGCTGAAAGTGTATTATGGAATGTGGATATTAGCTGGCACGTCACCCAATCAGCACAAAGAATTGTGCTAAATGCCCCCCCTTTTTATGGACAGACTGAACGGCAGCCATCCCAGATTGAAATCATCTCAGTTCTACACATATAAAAAAAAAATTCTAAGGTCCATATTTGTGTGACCAGTTTTTCTTTAACTTTTTTGCTGCTGTAAACACCAGAGTTTCCCAATTATCAGACGACAAATGGATTTTCTATTCTGTTCCAGCCACTAAATAAGGTAAACATGCCCACAGTTATATTCAACACCAGCACAGGAATGACATTTGATGTTATGTAATAACTTTATATCATTTAGAGCAGCACCAATCCCTGCTGGGATGGTGATGTCATCGGCCGTAATTAAAAATTATTCCATCTTAAAAACCAAATCAGCACAAACGATAGTTTTACCTGCAGAAATTAAGTAGCAGTGAAAAAGTAGGCTAGATGATTTTGATGCAATTCAGATGCAATTCAATTCTTAAATGGGGGATAGTTGATCTCTGGGTGACCTAAAAAAGATTATCTTTAACATTTATCAAATAACAGTAGCGCATTTTATGGTTTTTCGTCTATTCGTGTTTTTTTTTTCTAGCAAATGGCCTTTTTAAACACTCAAACCTGCGCTAAAGAAACAGTGGGGTGTCAGCTTCACTCTGCAGAAGCTCATACTATTTGATGATGCGGTTCAGGGTGTAAGCACTGCATCTGAAATGCAGGACACCTCCTTTCTATAGTCACTGCCTCTGGTTAGAAGATGCTGTGGCTGATTGTTTCCAATATCTAATCCATCTCAATGCTGAACTGAACAGATTCCCTGTCAGAAAATCAGTGGCCTCTGGATCCATCATTTTCTAGCCGCCATTGCCTCGGCAACCACTCAGCATTTCCTGTCTCCACCTGGGAATCTAGACTTCAAAATAAAAGCACACAGAGTGATGTAAACATTAGAGGGTGGCTTTGATTTTAAATTGTTGTCAATGCCAAACCTTCTGATAGGGCTGGGCGATAAACCGGGTTATTACCGCTATCGTCATTCACTATGACAACAACGGTGACAATTTTCCCATGTCGGTAAAATTAATAAAAGTAATTCTGGTGTTTTTCCTGTGTGCTAGTGGCTGATATTTCCTTCCCCTTCAAGACATTGCAGCATATGGTGAATCACGTGACTCCACCGATCCAGTCAGAAGCATAAACAAAGAGGATGCAGGATGAGCCCAGTGAAGAAGTGTCAAACAGCTGTAAACAAAACTACATCAGTTAATCCTATGGAGCCAAGAGGGAGCAGAGATGAAGCTGAGCACGCAGAGAAGAGGTCCAGAGTGCGTTGCCAGAGTAGTGCAGTGCACATTGTTTGAACTACACAATTAGTTCGGTCGCACCAAAATTACACCATAGATCTTGAGCAAAAGAACAGGAAATGCAAAGTTTGTCTGAAAACTGCTGGGACTACCAAAAGTAACATATCCAACCTTCACCACCTACAGCAGAGTTCAAAGATGTACAAAAGGCTCCATTAGCTTTGGGCCAAACTTTTTGCAAGAGAGGAAACCTTTTTTTTATTGTTCAACGAGACATTGTTGAATTTTTAAACATGAATGGGTACATGACTTTAATATTTAATTGAAAGTAATATGTTATTATATTTATTGAATAAATACATTAAAAATAGATCAGTTGGATTTGCTGCACATGCCTTTACTTCTGATGGAGGAGCTGGAGCATTTATCATGCATTTATTGTTATTGACGTAAAACTGCCAATTAATCATGATATTTATTTCTGGTTATATCGCCCAGCCAAACCTCCTGATGCTCATAGCAGAGTATTGAGGAGCTTCAAGGCAACACAAAGCATTGCTGATATCAGACGGTTTTTCTAGTCACATAAAGTTCTGCAGTCAAATTGTAGCCATTGGCAGAATATTAGGAAATTCATAATCTCTGTTGTCTTTAAACCACAACAGAATCAGTCATTTCAATAAAAAGTGATGATCTGAAAAAAAATCTGTCAGCAGTTACAACTGTCTAAAAGTTGCAATGTCTGTTCAGGACAACTTTTCCAATTATTGGCCCATTGAGTTTTACGGCACCAGTGGCTCATTTTTTTTTACATTAGGCTGACAGGAAAGGGGGTGTAAGAGAGGGGGAGTGACATTCGGCAAAGGACCACAGATCGGATTTGAACCCGGTCAGTGTGTCGCAGTGAGCTTTGTCGCAGACATTTTTGATTTATGCTCAATTTTCAGTGTAGTCTGCGCTATACGCTGTGGGTCTAGATACAGCCGAGGCGATGAGGAACTGGGGGCCAGATTGTCCAACAACAGAGGGACATAATGGCGAAATACAGCGGGGATCCAGGTGGAAAAAGGGTCCCAGCGTTCTCGCAGACTTAGCTCTTCTAACTGGTCCAACTTCACGAGTTGGTTTCTGCAATTTTGGTAATAAAAACAAAACAAGCTCGCCTCCTGTCACTGTCTGCGGTCACCTACAATTTAGGAGAGGTTCAGCAGAGTGTCTGCGGGGGGGACGTTGTTTTGTTCACTGCGACACCTTTGCAGAGGACCTAGTTTCAAAGTAGAAAATCAGCCTTAAGGCCTCCGCACCTGGGTCATGCGCGCTAACCACTGCTCCACCTGAACGCTTTTTCAAATTCTAAATGTTGTTTGATTGCCTGAATTTTAAGATTTTCAGTTCTTTTACATGCTCTTTGATCAAAATTAACCTTGAAGTTTTAGTTTTAGGCTTTAACCTAAAACAGAAAAATAAAGTAACTCATCTTCAAAGCTATAAATAAATTCTCTGTCTCTTCCTGTTTCTGCAGGTCAGATCAACATTAAAGCTGTGATTGGAGAGAACAAGATTCTACCATGTAGAGCTGAGAATGGATCCATCAGATTGGTAGAGTGGAACAGGACAGATATAAAGGAAGGAAATGTTCTACGGTACAGAAATGATGCTGTGGATAAAGGAGACCAGCATCCATCTTTTAAGGACAGAGTGGTTTTCCAGGACAGAGAGATGAAGGATGGAGACGTGTCTTTGGTTCTCATTAATGTGAAGATGAATGATGCTGGAACATATGAGGCTGAGGTTGATTATGATGGAACACACGATGAGAAGAAACTCTGCTCCATCCACCTGGATGTAGCTCCTCCTCCTCCTCCAGGTGAATTTGTGTCTCTGGATCAGTTCCTCCTGCAGCTTCCTTGTTCTGGATGTTAGAAATATCTCAGGATAGATGTTTGTTTTCTAGAGATGCTTTAGATGACTTTGTAGAAGCAGCTGGTCTGAGATCTGAAGAAACTTCATCACCTCCCTGATAGAAATATTAAGCTTGGTTTATAAATGAAAGCTTTATTGATGACTGCCTTGGAATTTTACTTTTACAGAGTAAATTCAGACATAATCAATATTAAGTCTGACTTCAGCTGAAAGAAATGATCCATGAATGAATAAGTTTCAGATGTGTAACAGTCTAAGCTTCAGTTTTAGTGCTGGACGTCTGATGATCCAGTTTGGTTCCATGAATTAAATCTATTGTTTGCTTTAGCAATAAGGACATAGGAGCAGATCCAGTCTGGCTTTTACTGCTGAACCAGTCCAGAAAACATTGAATATCCTGGACAGGGATGGACTCAGCATAGAGGCAGCCGCCTGGGGCCCCTATGAGGGCCCCGCTGGTTACCCATCCCTCCATATTGGGCCCCTATGAGGGCCCCACTGGTTACCCGTCCCTCCATATTGGGCCCCTATGAGGGCCCCACTGGTTACCCGTCCCTCCATATTGGGCCCCTATGAGGGCCCCACTGGTTACCCGTCCCTCCATATTGGGCCCCTATGAGGGCCCCACTGGTTACCCGTCCCTCCATATTGGGCCCCTATGAGGGCCCCACTGGTTACCCGTCCCTCCATCTGGGGCCCCTATGAGGGCCCCACTGGTTACCCGTCCCTCCATCTGGGGCCCCTATGAGGGCCCCACTGGTTACCCATCCCTCCATCTGGGGCCCCTATGAGGGCCCCACTGGTTACCCATCCCTCCATCTGGGGCCCCTATGAGGGCCCCGCTGGTTACCCATCCCTCCATCTGGGGCCCCTATGAGGGCCCCGATGGTTACCCATCCCTCCATCTGGGGCCCCTATGAGGGCCCCGCTGGTTACCCATCCCTCCATATCGGGCCCCTATGAGGGCCCCGCTGGTTACCCATCCCTCCATCTGGGGCCCCTATGAGGGCCCCGCTGGTTACCCATCCCTCCATATCGGGCCCCTATGAGGGCCCCGCTGGTTACCCATCCCTCCATATGGGGCCCCTATGAGGGCCCCTCTGGTTACCCATCCCTCCATCTGGGGCTCCTATGAGCAAAGGGGCCCCACTGGTTACCCATCCCTCCATCTGGGGCTCCTATGAGCAAAGGGGCCCGCTGGTTACCCATCCCTCTATCTGGGGCTCCTATGAGCAAAGGGGCCGCACTGGTTACCCATCCCTCCATCTGGGGCTCCTATGAGCAAAGGGGCCGCACTGGTTACCCATCCCTCCATCTGGGGCTCCTATGAGCAAAGGGGCCCCGCTGGTTACCCATCCCTCCATCTGGGGCTCCTATGAGCAAAGGGGCCCCCCTGGTTACCCATCCCTCTATCTGGGGCTCCTATGAGCAAAGGGGCCGCACTGGTTACCCATCCCTCCATCTGGGGCTCCTATGAGCAAAGGGGCCCCGCTGGTTACCCATCCCTCCATCTGGGGCTCCTATGAGCAAAGGGGCCCCCCTGGTTACCCATCCCTCTATCTGGGGCTCCTATGAGCAAAGGGGCCCGCTGGTTACCCATCCCTCTATCTGGGGCTCCTATGAGCAAAGGGGCCGCACTGGTTACCCATCCCTCCATCTGGGGCTCCTATGAGCAAAGGGGCCCCGCTGGTTACCCATCCCTCCATCTGGGGCTCCTATGAGCAAAGGGGCCCCCCTGGTTACCCATCCCTCTATCTGGGGCTCCTATGAGCAAAGGGGCCCGCTGGTTACCCATCCCTCTATCTGGGGCTCCTATGAGCAAAGGGGCCGCACTGGTTACCCATCCCTCCATCTGGGGCTCCTATGAGCAAAGGGGCCCCACTGGTTACCCATCCCTCTATCTGGGGCTCCTATGAGCAAAGGGGCCCCGCTGGTTACCCATCCCTAGTAACCAGCGGGGCCCCTTTGCTCATAGGAGCCCCAGATAGTGGGCGTTAATATTTATTGATATCGATACTCCTTATCCGAGTCTTTATCGATACCACTATCAATACTTTTCTGTTATTTGGTGGAAAGACGATGCAACAAAATGTTTTTAACAGAACTGGTATTGCTTTTATTGCTTAACAAGTGAGCATAACAAAAACGTTTCTAGCCTTCAATAAACATGGCTAATGTAATAGGCCACTTCGAAATGACATAAAACTAACTAGAATATATTTTCACAATTGTTGGTTAATGTATTGTCTACTGTCACTTTTCATCATGTTTTTAGTGATTAGGAAAATATTTAGCAAATAAATAATTGTATTTTAAATTAAATGTAATTTTTAATAAATGTTGGCATCAGTAGTTTAATTATATATTCTAATATAATTAGAGCAATATACAACTGTATTACTCATGTTTCTCTCCAAAAACTCAATTTCCATTTTCTTTACGTTACACTTGAACGCATCATGATAACCTAATTGTCGTTTTACTGAGCCAATCTGAACACATCATCACGCAGCACGTCTGAAACTTTATTTACTTTTCAAGTTAACTAGCTTGTATGCTTCCGATTACAACACGGATTTCACAATTACTATTTCTAACTGACCGGACAAGCTACAAAGTCTGTGTGCGCGCCTACCAGTGGTACTCTGAGTGGATGATGAAGGCGGGCCCGACTGTGGTGCGGCGGCGGCAGCAGCAGCAGGAGGAGGAGGAGTCTTTTCTGTTCAGCCATCCTCGAGTCGCGAGCAAAGTTTACTGCCAGAATTCACTTGTGTTACTTTTAATATTTGTTTGCTTACAATTTCATTCCAAAACATTGGTGGACATGCTGCAGTGATTGGATTGATTAGATTTAAATGCTGTGACGCGAATCGAGGGAGTTACAGGACCTCCGGGAGAAAAAAAAAAAACGACCAGACTCGATAGTGGTATCGATAAGCCCAAACGTTATTGATTTTCGGGTTTTGAAACTTTATTTACTTTGAACTACGCTGTCTGTGAGCGCACGCCACTTTGCGCCGTCTTTTTTGTATGCTGCCTGTCGATTAATTGCTTCAGTGATGGTGGACCGTCGCAAACTTGAAGACGCAGACGGGCCACCGCTTGTACTTTGTGTTTCCAGCTGGAGAAACTTTGCTGGGTGGTTGTGCTTTAGCTGCATGTGTAGGTTGGTTGTATTGCTGCTCTTTGTTGCTACTGTTTTATGACAAATGCGACATACTGGCTGGCATAGGTTCAGTGGTTCGCCTCTCTCATTTGGTTTGAATCCAAAATACTCCCACACTGCGACTGTTGCGCTCGGCTTTGAAACCAGTTCCATTTTGAGCTTTTGCCCCCAACATATGATGTGGGTTGTTTTTTTACCTCACTTACTCCTCACGGGGCTCTTAAGCTGCAGAAGTACAAAATGATGCACGCTGACTACCTGATGCGATAGTCCACTCCTCCTCCCTCCTCATTTTTTCCCTTCCTAATTTTTTAGGAAGGGGAGGGGTCAGTGGATAGCACAGGGGTTAAGCCTTTTCATCCAGCGTCATCAATAGAAAGAAAAAACACAGGCAGAGACGATATAGCCGATAAATTAAATGACATGGATAGTTTTTATTTATCGTGCGATTAATTGATTTATTGATTATCGTGACAGGCCTACTTGTACTTAGTATTTTCCTATTTTTATCTGTTTTCCTGTTGAATTTTAATCCATCTGCCAGTTTCTCTGCCAATGCCCAGTGAAGTTTATCATTCTGAAATAGTGGACTTCCCTTCTCCTTCTTCCTGCTTTGAAGTGATCTTAGACTTAGACAGATTTTATTTGTCATCTTGTTTACACAAGTGTAAAACAAAAAGAAATTTAGTTTGGAACAGCTCTCTGGACAATTTCATCTTTTTTTTAAGTGCAGCCTTGAAAAGTAGCAAAAAATATAAATAAAAAAATAAATGTATGTAACGCTTATTAAGGCTAGGCGCCTGACTACAGCCAAATATAATAGGCACTCAGATAGGTTTGTCTATGGAGCCTGTGGGTGTGAACAAAATACAATTAGACAAAAGTATGTTTAAATTATTGTATTCAAGTTTGAGTTTTTTTTCATATATATAGGAAGATATGCAATATTAATAATATTTATAATAACAGTGATTTTCTATAATATAACCAAAAACACGACAAGAAAAACAAAAAAACAAACTCTGCAACAAAAACAATAAACCCTGATGTCACCCAAGAGTTTCTATTTTGGTCCATTCATGAATCCAGGGTGATTAACGGTCCATCAATCAATATCTGATTGTTTTGTTTTGGGTTTTTTTTGTCCATGATCCAGAATGAGAAAATAGCTTAGTTCATTTAAATCCTACCGCGAAGCTGCGGTGATCCGGTAGCTCGCCATCCTGACGTGACACAGGGGGTGGAAAAAAAACCTGACCTAAACAAGGTCATAAATAAAAATAAAACAAATTAGCTGTCATGTTTAAACATTGCTAAACTGTTATCCAAAATAAATAAACATTCAACATTTACAATAAATAAATAACTACATTCCATAAAGTGATTAACCGGGCGTGTCGCCACCGCATTTCTATTTCTAAAGAAAAACAAAATACGTAAATTAAACGACTCACCGTCGAGCGGTCGACAGAAAACACCCGATTTAATCCTTCGGCCGTTTTAGTAAGCCTCGATCCAGCCGTATTCTTCCATAAGTTTAGAAGACGCCGAGACGAGCAGCTAGCCACAGCGACAGCAGCAACAGCGATTCAGATCCGAGTCTTCTTCTTTTTAATGGCGGTTGGCAAACAACTAAGAGGTGCATTACCGCCACCAACCAGTAAGGAGTGTGGATCAAGACAGACATGCTCAAAAAAAAAAAAAAAGGACAAACCTAAATTCTTTTCGCTAAACCTGTAGCTAATAAATAACGAAAAAGTATTCTTCCTTTTGAATCTTCTTCCCACTGTTTTTGCCAATCTTCTCGGATCTTTCTTTTAATAATTCTTTAAACTACTATTTTACTCATATCGATTCTTATATCACTCTTATTTTGGCTTATTGCCATCTGCTTCAAGTTTTTGTATAACTTGATTCCACGAAATATTCCTCATCCCTAAGAATTTCTCAGCTCCTTTAACAATGATTTTGATTTTCTCATTTTTATGCTTAACCTGGTCCGTGCAGTTAATAACAAAAGCCATAAACAAAACTAGTTTGTCAAACTCAACAGGGTTATATACCTTGGCATGCTGCTCTGGTTCTCACCTTAATACTTGAATGTTACTCACAGTTTCTTTTTCCTGAACCTTCTTTAATGCCTCAGCATAACTTAGGTTGTTTGTTGTTTTCACTTTTTGAACCTCAACTGCTTTCTTCCTAACTTCACACCCTCCATATGTTGCCCTGTGCTCTCCACCACAATTACAGCATTTATCCTGAGTATTTTCACCACATTCTTGTATTTTGTGCTCTCCTCCACATTTTAAACATCTCTGTTTGCCCCTGCACACTGCAGCAATGTGACCATATCTCTGACACTTGTAACACCGAAGTGGAGGAAGAACATAAGGCCTGACTGGATAGCACATGAAACCCACTTTAACTCTCTCCGGGACTTCTGGAGTAGAAAATTCCAGAAGCACAGATAAGCTGTCAACTCTCTCATTGTTAACTGTTTTCTGCAATCTCTTTATATCACTGACTTCAACATTATGGATGTTATGCTTTAATCTCTCCAAATCTTCATTAACCGGAATTCCGTAAATAACTCCTCGGGATCCTTTCTTTTCTCCCAACACTCTTTTACTTTCCACTCTTTTCTTTCCAATACTTTCAACACTCATTGCTTTCCTTTTTTGTTCTTCTGATTTACAGACAATTAGCAAGTTTCCATCTCTCAGAGTTTTAGCCACTTCCCCCACTTTCTTTTTTAGTTCCTTAGAAACTATTACTGGGCTCAGAATAATATTTTCATCTTCCTTTCTGAATTTTAATATTATGTTCACCTCTTCTTTCATGATTTTTTTACGTACACCCTTGCTTCCATCATCTGTGCTTTCGTCTTCAAGGTTTCTTTTGTTTCCTGAATTCCCACAAGCTCTGCCCGCTTCACTACTTTTGAATTTTCCACTTCTCCGGTAAGTACCCACTGGCGTCCAACTATCCATATCCGAATCACTTTCTAGCTCTTCCTCATCCTCTACAACTTGAGCCGCCATCTTGATCCCGTCACAAACTGGCTTATGCCTCAGATCAGTGTCGTTGTTGTCGTCTCCTTCTTCCGATGAGGTCCACCAAGTTGAAGCGAGCACCTCGCTCACTGAGCGTTTCATAAACAACGGCTTCTCTCCAACTCTCTCGCCGCCAGCACACCCGGCTCAGATCCGAGTCAACCTGTGACCCGGAACTTAAAGGGTGCTGTCAGTTTGACCCGCCAAAATAAAATACGGGTGGAAATACGGGTTTCTTATTTTGTGCAGGTTACATGTATATATATATATATATATATATATATAAACAGTGATATAAACATATGACTGTAAATTTACAGTTCTAACGTTTTTTTCATCTCTACTGAACTGTGTGTGGGTATCAATTGGTGCATTTAGATTTTTTGTCTGCACAGCCTTTTTCTGGAGATCTTGACTGCTCTTTTCTTTATTTTTGGTGAGTGAGTGAGTGAGTGAGTGAGTGAGTGATATGGTGTGAAGTTCTTATGAGATTGTTAAGTTCTGTTTTTGTAACCTATTTTTTGACACAATTGATCATTTCCCCGTTTGTTGGACTTACTGTTTATTCTCCACCTGTGCAAATAAAAAACAAATACTGCCATCCCTTGTGTTTGGCTTGGTAGATCTCAGCATGCCATCAACTTTAAAAGTAGATCTTGGTTTAAAACAGGTTGGGCACCCCTGATGTAAATGTTTAATAAGTTCAATTTTAGACTTTTGCATTTAGGTTTTGAAAACTAAAAAATTAAGAAAAATCTGGGTTGATTTGTTTTTCTGCTTTTGTGTCGAAAGAGGAAAAACTAAAGAAGGAACCAGATGAAGATTTGATTGATATATTTCTTTACATTTTCTTTGATCAAAATTTCCTGGAAGTTTTTGTTTTAGACATCTTCAAATCTACAGATAAATTCTTTGTCTCTTCTTGTTTCTGCAGATCAGATCAACATTAAAGCTGCGATTGGAGAGAACCTGATTCTACCATGTAGAGCTGAGAATGGAAGCATCAGATTTGTAGAGTGGAAGAGGGCGGATATAGAGGAGGAAAATGTTCTACGGTACAGAGGACAAGTTGATGCAGGAAAACAGCATCAATCTTTTAAGGACAGAGTGGTTTTCCAGGACAGAGAGATGAAGGATGGAGACGTGTCTTTGGTTCTCATTAATGTGACGATGAATGATGCTGGAACATATGAGGCTGAGGTTGATTATGAGGGAACAAACAGAGAGAAGAAACTCTGCTCCATCCACCTGGATGTAGCTCCTCCTCCTTCTCCTCCTCCTCCTTCAGGTGAGTTTGTGTCTCTGGATCAGTTCCTCCTGCAGCTTCCTTGTTCTGGATGTTAGAAACATCTCAGGATAGATGTTTGTTTTCTAGAGATGCTTTAGATGACTTTGTAGAAGCAGCTGGTCTGAGATCTGAAGAAACTTCATCACCTCCCTGATAAAAATATTAAGCTTGGTTTATAAATGAAAGCTTTATTGATGACTGCCTTGGAATTTTACTTTTACAGAGTAAATTCAGACATAATCAATATTAAGTCTGACTTCAGCTGAAAGAAATGATCCATGAATGAATAAGTTTCAGATGTGTAACAGTCTAAGCTTCAGTTTTAGTGCTGGACGTCTGATGATCCAGTTTGGTTCCATGAATTAAATCTATTGTTTGCTTTAGCAATAAGGACATAGGAGCAGATCCAGTCTGGCTTTTACTGCTGAACCAGTCCAGAAAACATTGAATATCCTGGACAGGGATGGACTCAGCATAGAGGCAGCCGCCTAGGGCCCCTATGAGGGCCCCGCTGGTTACCCATCCCTCCATCTGAGGCCCCTATGAGGGCCCCACTGGTTACCCATCCCTCCATCTGGGACCCCTATGAGGGCCCTGCTGGTTACCCATCCCTCCATCTGAGGCCCCTATGAGGGCCCTGCTGGTTACCCATCCCTCCATCTGAGGCCCCTATGAGGGCCCCACTGGTTACCCGTCCCTCCATATTGGGCCCCTGTGAGGGCCCCACTGGTTACCCGTCCCTCCATATTGGGCCCCTATGAGGGCCCCACTGGTTACCCGTCCCTCCATATTGGGCCCCTATGAGGGCCCCGCTGGTTACCCACCCCTCCATCTGAGGCCCCTATGAGGGCCCCGCTGGTTACCCATCCCTCCATCTGGGACCCCTATGAGGGCCCTGCTGGTTACCCATCCCTCCATCTGAGGCCCCTATGAGGGCCCCGCTGGTTACCCACCCCTCCATCTGAGGCCCCTATGAGGGCCCCGCTGGTTACCCATCCCTCCATCTGAGGCCCCTATGAGGGCCCCACTGGTTACCCGTCCCTCCATCTGGGACCCCTATGAGGGCCCCACTGGTTACCCATCCCTCCATCTGGGGCCCCTATGAGGGCCCCACTGGTTACCCGTCCCTCCATATTGGGCCCCTGTGAGGGCCCCACTGGTTACCCGTCCCTCCATATTGGGCCCCTATGAGGGCCCCACTGGTTACCCGTCCCTCCATATTGGGCCCCTATGAGGGCCCCGCTGGTTACCCGTCCCTCTATCTGGGGCCCCTATGAGGGCCCCGCTGGTTACCCACCCCTCCATCTGAGGCCCCTATGAGGGCCCCGCTGGTTACCCATCCCTCCATCTGGGACCCCTATGAGGGCCCTGCTGGTTACCCATCCCTCCATCTGAGGCCCCTATGAGGGCCCCACTGGTTACCCGTCCCTCCATCTGGGACCCCTATGAGGGCCCTGCTGGTTACCCATCCCTCCATCTGGGACCCCTATGAGGGCCCTGCTGGTTACCCATCCCTCCATCTGAGGCCCCTATGAGGGCCCTGCTGGTTACCCATCCCTCCATCTGGGACCCCTATGAGGGCCCTGCTGGTTACCCATCCCTCCATCTGAGGCCCCTATGAGGGCCCCACTAGTTACCCGTCCCTCCATCTGGGACCCCTATGAGGGCCCTGCTGGTTACCCATCCCTCCATCTGAGGCCCCTATGAGGGCCCCACTGGTTACCCGTCCCTCCATCTGGGACCCCTATGAGGGCCCCACCGGTTACCCATCCCTCCATCTGGGACCCCTATGAGGGCCCTGCTGGTTACCCATCCCTCCATCTGAGGCCCCTATGAGGGCCCCACTGGTTACCCATCCCTCCATCTGGGACCCCTATGAGGGCCCCACTGGTTACCCATCCCTCCATCTGGGACCCCTATGAGGGCCCCGCTGGTTACCCATCCCTCCATCTGAGGCCCCTATGAGGGCCCCACTGGTTACCCGTCCCTCCATCTGGGACCCCTATGAGGGCCCCACTGGTTACCCATCCCTCCATCTGGGACCCCTATGAGGGCCCTGCTGGTTACCCATCCCTCCATCTGAGGCCCCTATGAGGGCCCCGCTGGTTACCCATCCCTCCATCTGGGACCCCTATGAGGGCCCTGCTGGTTACCCATCCCTCCATCTGAGGCCCCTATGAGGGCCCTGCTGGTTACCCATCCCTCCATCTGAGGCCCCTATGAGGGCCCCACTGGTTACCCGTCCCTCCATATTGGGCCCCTGTGAGGGCCCCACTGGTTACCCGTCCCTCCATATTGGGCCCCTATGAGGGCCCCACTGGTTACCCGTCCCTCCATATTGGGCCCCTATGAGGGCCCCGCTGGTTACCCGTCCCTCTATCTGGGGCCCCTATGAGGGCCCCGCTGGTTACCCATCCCTCCATCTGGAGCCCCTATGAGGGCCCCGCTGGTTACCCATCCCTCTATCTGGGGCCCCTACGAGGGCCCCGCTGGTTACCCATCCCTCTATCTGGGGCCCCTATGAGGGCCCCGCTGGTTACCCATCCCTCCATCTGGAGCCCCTATGAGGGCCCCGCTGGTTACCCATCCCTCCATCTGGAGCCCCTATGAGGGCCCCGCTGGTTACCCATCCCTCTATCTGGGGCCCCTATGAGGGCCCCGCTGGTTACCCATTCCTCCATCTGGGGCCCCTATGAGGGCCCCGCTGGTTACCCATCCCTCTATGTGGGGCCCCTATGAGGGCCCCGCTGGTTACCCATTCCTCTATCTGGGGCCCCTATGAGGGCCCCACTGGTTACCCATTCCTCCATCTGGGGCCCCTATGAGGGCCCCGCTGGTTACCCATCCCTCTATGTGGGGCCCTGGAATATTCATGCATGTTAGAAATAAAAATCTTTAGGATTTGTAACCAAACTCTGAGAATCCTGTGAACCCAAACAGCAGTGACTTCTGCTCCTCCTTTTCCGCGAAACTGAAATGGAAAACCATCCTGAGATGCAGCCTGAGCAGCAGGAGAGACCAGAAAGAAACCATGAAGCAGAGCTTTGACAGCGGAGCTGAAAGGAGGAACAAGTGATGGAAAAAAGGAGATTTATGGGATACAATAATGAGCTGAAGCTCCAGATGTTTTCTGGAAACCTCTGGATCTCCTGGAAGAAGAGATTTAGATGGAAAAGGAAGAATTAAGGCCCAAAATGACTTTAGATTAAATTAATAGATCTAATTTATTTAACATCAATCAGATCAGTGAGTAAAACTTCATTTATTGAGAATCTTTCAAGATAACAAAGTTGTTCAACAATCAACATAAACACAGCAAAGTAGTATTATGTCTGCTAATGGTTTTCCATATCATGACTTCCTGCTCCAGTGGGAATCAAAAGAAGACGTAGCGAGTTCCTCTGAGAGCCTCTAACAGGGTTTCATCAGGGATCCGCTTCCTTTCACAGCTGGAATGAGCTCAGAGTTGGAGCCTGGTGCTGCTTTGAACACAGGATCAGGTGGAAGTGGATTAAAGCAGCTGAAGTTAGCCAGAAAAGCTGAATAGTGACTCAGAACAGGAGAACTGTGAGCTCCAGCTAATAACCTGTTCACCCTGAGAGACCTGAGCTGGAGGTTTGCTCTGAAAGCATCACCAGCCTCATCAGAGGGACTTTCAGCTGAGCTACAGTTAGACTTAAAGCTCTGACTGGGATAGAAAACACTAGAAACCTTTTCTTTCAGCTTCTAGCTGGATTTACTCCCAGATGGTAGAAATATCTGGACCTCAGATCAGTGGAAATATAAGTATTCATTCCTGAAGCAGATAAACACATTAAAATGTAGACAAAGAAGCTATAATAAACAGATAAGATATGGGGTATGGACTAGTGCCAGGAATGCAGATCATCAGTAATTATCTCTATTCATGCTGTAAAGCTGTGATTGGTTCATTGTGCTGTGAGCTTCTGATTGATGCTCAGTCAGTCTGGCTGCCAGGCTACCAGCATAGAGGGGAGGTTTTCCTCTGCAGGTGGTTCAGCCTCTGATGGAGCGTAGAGGAGATTCCTCCATCCTGATAGCAGACATGTCCACCTGTGATATGATCTATGAAAGACTTCTGGGAAATTACCATAGAAAAGAAGTATTTATTGAAATAATATTAGAAATGATAATAGAAACATTTGTCATTTAATTAGACACTGAGCAGCCTGCAGCTGACAGTAGAGCTAAACCTGCTCAGAGACGTTAGAGGAAGAGAATGAAGAGTTAACATCATAGATCAGCTGGTTGAAAGGGATAGAAACAGAAAACTGTTGTAGATCTAAGTCAGAGGTCATGATGTTCTTCTTCTGTCTCCACAGAATTATGTCCATTCTGGGCCATAGCTCTGCTGGTTATCACTTTTATCCATGTTCTAAATCTAATTCTCATTGGTTTTCTTCTCTATCGTTGTCATCGTCTCTGTTCAGAATCAGGTGAGTCTCTAAAACCACGTTTCCCATAATCCTGATCTCCACTGTCTGATCTCTTATTAATGTCACAGCCTTTTCAAAGAGACACTTTATAAATGTTTCCCTCCCTGCATCTACAGCAGGGAGGGAAACATGTTTCAGCATCCAGATGAAAAATAAGGTTTACCTCCAGGTCAAAGGTCAGGTTTATTTTTGTTATTGTTTTTGTCTAGAACAGAGGGGGGTCCGGGACCCCTAGGGGGTCCATGGAGGTACTGCATGGGGGTCGCTAAAGTTTTGGTTGATTCGACTTTTTGTTTTATATATATATTCTCTCCTGCAAAATTTTCCACCAATTAAAATGTCTTTAAATCCACATTAACATGAATTCAACAGACTGTAGTAAACAGATAAATGAAAGCAGAAGATGTCTTTCAGTCATCAATGCACACATTCAGCGACACACAGGAGCTCTTTCAAGCTGGACACCATTTCATTCACAACACCTGTCCCATCAACCAGGAATCAGAAATACTTTAATAATCCCAGGGAGGGATTACTTTAGTT